GCAGAAAGTTGAGTAAAACTTCAGGACTTCTAATGTGAAAAAGTTAATAAAGTTCCCGAATAGATACTCTCGTACCTACCGTCTACTCCCTCCCTCTCCCTCTCTCTTCCCTCCATCTCCCTTCTTCTCCCTCCCTCTCTCTCCCTCCCCCTCCCTCTCTCTTCCTCTCCCTCCCTTCCTCCCTCCCTCTTCCTTCTCTTCCCTCTCTTCCTTCTTTCCTTTCTTTGAGGTTAGCCTCTGGGTTGCACATGCCCATGCATTCAGCACACATCTGTATGTATCCATGTACGTGTGCACCTGCCCACACGTGAACATATGCAAATACATTCTTCTTGCCTTCATATGCACAGGTTATATATGCACCCACCACACATACACTGGCACCCCCCACACCAGCACCCCCTCAACACCAGCATCCCACACACACCAGCACCCCCCACTCACACACTGGCACCCCAAACACACATACTGGCACCTCCACACACACACTGGCACCCCACACACTGGTACCCCAAACACACATACGGGTACCCCAACACACACACAGGCCCCTCCACCCACACACTGGCACCCCACACACATATACTGGCACCCCACCACCCACACATTGGCACACACACACATCGGCACCCACACACACACATCGGCACCCCCCTACCCATATACTTTCTCCTTTATAAAACTGACTGCAGTTAACCCCCAGGGAAGTAAAGATATAATGACACATCTGGACATCTCCTGAGGGACCCCATATCACCTTCAGCACATGGAGAATGGGAACCATATCCTGTCTCCCTGGTGTAAGGCCCGCTGTGGAAAGTCTTCCAGCCCTGACCCTAAGGCCTTCAGCATGGAGGATGAAGCAAGTCTCTTCATAGTGGGCAGTTTAAGTCTCTGAAATTCAATGTTTATTTGTTCATCTTACGTTCAAGAGCCTTTTCTTTTTCTTTTTGAACATTTAATGTCTAATGTTAATGCTAAGGGTCAGATTACTTCCTCTTTAAAAAATATCCTCCTAAAGGAGAAGGATTCTTGTTAAAAAGGGAGGATTTTGAAGTCATTTTAGAACCACTTCTGGGTGTTATTTTTCAGGCATCATAAAGCATCTGAATTCAGCTGCTTTTGAATCCAAGCAAAACACTTCTAAAGATAAGTGAGGCTTGCTTCCTACGTTAAGGGTGTTTTTAAGTGACAGATAAAGGGAAATAAAAGGCCTTTTCAGGGGCATATAAACTGGAATACAAACAAATTTTAAGACTGACGAGAGAATGAAAACCTAACAGAATAGCCCACATTTAGCACATTCTCAATGGACTTCAGACTTCCGGATTGGCCCTGAACTATTCCCCACGAAGCAAGGCATCATATATCAGTGTCAAAACTCACTGGCTGATCCTTTCCAAGGCACTTGGACAAGCCTTCAACAACTCAATTTACAGGAAGGCCAGCCTGTGAGGGAGGGGGCAGTTTGGACTTGTGTGAACAGGAAGGCCAGCCTGTGAGGGAGGGGCAGTTGGGACTTGTGTGAACGGTCTCCCTGTAGCCACTTTTACATATTCACTCACTCATTCATTCAAGAAACACTCGAGGCCACTTGTCTCCTATTTATGGCTCCCAGCCCTAGAGAAGAACCAGAACCACCTGGGCTTGTCCAGCAGCTGCTGGCTGGTCCCTTTTTTCATTTGTTTGTCTGTTTTTTTTGAGACAGGGTTTCTCTGTGTTGTTTTGGTGCCTGTCCTGGATCTCACTCTGTAGACCAGGCTAGCCTCGAACTCACAGAGATCTTCCTGCCTCTGCCTCCTGAGGGCTGGGATTAAAGGCGTGTGGCACCGCCGCCCGGTGCTGGCTGGCCCCTTAAGGAGTGGGACTGCAGGTCTTAGCTCATAGCCTGATTTGGAACCACTCAGTATTCAATTGGTTGGGAGAGAAGGGCATGTCTACTACTAGGGGAGAGCGCTTCTCTCTCAAATTGAGCTGCCTTTTCGTCCCCACATGCCATCATGATCCTTTCCTCTTACTCGGTTCCTGCATGTCTAGGCAGGTGCCTGTGCTGGGAAAGAGGACCAGAAAGAGGTTTAACAGTGAGGTGAACGCTCCCCCCCCCCCCAGCATTCTACTGCTCCTTCTACGCTAGTGTCCGGCAATGGTGAGACAAATGGTCCCCAACCTTCAGTGAGGAGTTCCCAACTTCCAAAGGTGAGAAAGTGTATCCACACAGCCATCCACTTTTCACTTTCAGTATAGAGTCAAGAACCTACACGTTATCTTCAACACTTTATAAAATGGGCTTTGTGTTAGCTATCTCCCAACTGTACCCTATGTAAGCGTTCTGGCCACACTTAGGGTAGGCTAAGCCAAACTATGATGATCATTATGGAAGGTGTATTCTTCATGCCTTCAGCTTACAGAATTTTCAATTCCTAATGTGTTCATCAGGACGTAACCCCATTGTAAATCAAGCAACGTCTCACAAAGATAGATTTTTACCTCCAATTCAATGCTAACTTTTGGCCAGCAGCATATAAAAATTGTCTTTTGAAGACAGAAACAGGATATTCAGACTTCAAAGGCAAGAAAATGACCTTGGCGAGATACACATTTATCTGGGATTTTCCCAGTGCCCATGTGCACAGAGAACACACTCCCAATGAGAAAAGTCAAAAACTGAAAAGGGCCACCCCACAAGTAACAGAGAAACACCATAAAGAAACCATAGGTAGGGCTGGAGAGATGGCTCAGAGGTTAAGAGCACTGGCTGCTCTTCCAGAGGACCTGAGTTCAATTCCCAGCAACCACATGGTGGCTCACAACCATCTGTAATGAGATCTGGCGCCCTCTTCTGGCATGTAGACATGCATACATGCAGGCAGAACAATGCATACACAAGTAAATCTTTTTTTTAAAAAAGGAACCATAGGTATGGTGTCCCCAATCTCCCTTATATACTCTGTCAAACTCCTCACTGACTACTGAGCCACACATGTACTGAGAAGAGATTCAGGGGTGGAAAGCCTTGGATGCCGGACAGAGCTAAGTAGAAACTCACACCTTTCCATTCAGAGGGATCCAGTAAACAATTAGTATCCCACTGAAACCCTAGAAGGTCTGCGGCTTATGAATGAAAAATGACAGGACTTGAGGTAGAGGATCACCCTCATACTTGTCTCAATATCTGTCCTGGTTAGTTTCTATGCGGTGCACAGCAGACATGCAGGCAAACACACTCTTAAACATAAAATACATAAAAAAAACTTTAAGAGACAAAGACAGCTACATCTAACTTTATTCTATGTAAGCAAATTTTTATAATTACATAATAACAAAATGTGAAGCTACACAATTGTTGTAGTCTTTTGGCAGGCACTACATAATCCTCCAAAACACAAATGTCCATCATGTCCAAGGACCTAAATGCAATGATAATTGAAAATCCTTTCAGAATTGACTCCACAAAAGCAAAGGCAAAAATAGCCTATAAAATATATTAACAGTCTGTAAGGTATTAAGACGTGGGCATTCCACACCCTGATGAAACGCTTTCGATGGCCAAGAAGGAAAACATTGCAGGACTTTGATTCCCATCACAGGCAGCTCCTACTGTCCTACACAGTGACTGTGGAGACCATTTCAATCCATCAACTGCACGGAAACTCTGCAGGACTTTCCTCCTAAGACAGAAAACTTCACTCTCCATTTGAGAACAAATGGGAGGCTGGGGTATAGCTCAGTGGTCACCCAATTACCAAGCATGCATGAGGCTCTGGGTTCAGTTTTTAGCATTATAAGACATTCATGCATGCACACACACACACACACACACCAAGTGGTGTTTATTGCTAATGAAAACTAGTTATTCAACCATACACTGGCAAACCATAGACCTGGGCCAAATATGGCTGTGTTTTCAGATGCTTCACAAGCTAGAAAGTGTTCCTTAAATATTTGTAAAAAAAAAAAAATGTAGAGAAAGGACTATGGAAGTAGAAATCATGTATGCCCTGCAAACCTGTGACTATTGACTATCTGGAGAAAATTTGCCAACTTGAGGTCTCATCTAGCCATGACCTTAATTTGCCTTAGTTCACTGTGTCACCATTGGTGTTAATGGCTACAGAATCACCTCTTCATAGTTCACACAGATTTCCCCCTGGAACATCAGTTATAAAACTCTCTGTGTTAGGAATAACACCATTAACAACTGTATTTTGTCACATGCAGATCTAGCTACTGTCAGAACCAATGGGTTTTTTTTTGTTGTTGTTTTGTTTTGTCTGTTTGGTTGGTTGGTTGGTTTGGTTTTTCGAGACAGGGTTTCTCTGTGTAGCTTTGGAGCCTGTCCTGGAACTCACTTGGTAGCCCAGGCTGGCCTTGAACTCACAGAGATCCCCCTGCCTCCGCCTCCCGAGTGCTGGGATTAAAGGCGTGCACCACCACTGCCCCGCCAAATGGGCTGTTTTATGCCCAGTCTCTCAAAGCCACCTTTCCAAAGATTTCATTCAAACCTTTATACCACTTTCAACTCAGTGACAGACCCACTAGAAAGCAACGTGTTAAACTGCAAAAATGACCACACATCTTTCTATTCCCTATGCTGATCCCTCGCATATGACTCCATGAAGAGTGTCTCTTGTCCTTTAAATGTAAACTTAAATACATAGGTGAGCCGGGCAAGGGTGGCTCAGCCTTTAATCCCAGCGCTAGGGAGGCAGAGGCAGGCGGATCTCTGTGAGTTCGAGGCCAGCTGGGTCTACAGAGTGAGATCCAGGACAGGCTCCAAAGCTACAGAGAAAACCTGTCTTAAAAACAACAACAACAACAACAGGTGCTTTAGACAAAAGGGCATTAAGGGCGCGACACAGATTGAGGAGATAGAAAAACATGCTACAAAGTACAGGGGGGTACTAAGTTGTTATGAATTATTGTGTGAGGGAAACATGCTGGGCAGATGCAGCGGTGGGCTGGGCAGATGCATGCCATGCGGGCGTGACGGCAGCAGCGGCGGCCAGTAATTCACAACTTAGATGCTGCATCCATGTGGAGAGTTTATTATAATAGAGAGATGAAGAGAAAGATAGGGAAGAGAGAGGGAGAAAAAGAGAGAAGAGAGAGAGAGATCAAGGGTGCACACCTCATGGGAGGAAAAGCGGGAGGGGGGGAAGGGGAGAAGCTTTTCCTTAGAAATGAAGCTCTTACTCCAGGACACAGGGCGGCGCCAAGGGGCGGGTCAGAATACTAACACTGGTTTCCAAGGGGCGAATCAGAATACTAACATTCCTGTGGTTTGATTATTGTAAAAAGAGGTGAGTTATGGGAGCAAGCAGGGGAACAAGGGCACTGAATTCTTGCGGCTACTTCAAGCTGACAAGGGGTGAAGTGGGGAGGGGGGAAGCCGGAAGGCGCCAGTAAAGAAGCATTGTCAGTTGTCATCGTGTGAATCTCTGGCGTGGAGATCTCAGGCATCTGTTCCTTGAGGTTGCGGCAGTGAATTGAAGGATGTGTTCTTCATGATCCTATCTGCCATTTCTCTGGAGGTGGGGGTGCAGCCATCCCAGTGGGTGTCCTAAATTGGAGGTTGGCATCCTTGGAGCTGGTGCAGGGACCGACTTATCTGGAGAGCCCCTTGACCCAGGCAGGAGGAGAGAAGCTGCAAAATATGCTCAAAAATGGGTGAGGTCAAAAATGGGCTCTGGAGACTGCTAGGTTTCGTCAGACCAGATTTTTTGATGCAGTAGAAGAATTTTTCCCAGGGACCTGTAGGTATCTGTAAGACAGCTGGAATAGATTTATATCATAGCAAAAGGGTTTAAAAAAATCTATGAAAATTTAAGGATTCTTAAGAATTGTTTGTAGTCAATGTTGTATCAATTTATCAAAGCTGCATTTATCAATATTAAAATTTGAACGTCTGGAGTTATATCTGAAACCATTCTATCCTGTACCATGAAGTCTGTGAATAAGGCATACCTGTCTATAATTTTAATAGGAAACTTATTAATGAACTGTCAGTAATCTTGGGATTGGGGCTGTCAAACTGATACCCCCTGGTCATCAAACATCATCAGATCTGAGAAGGATAAATTTAAGAAGTGAGACAGCTTTCCAGCTGCCTAGGTAGCAGTCTCAAGTCTCTCTGTGGTTGTGGGGGTGGGGGTGGGGTCAGGAGCCCCAGAGGAAGCACTTGTTCAGCTGATAAGCCCAGAAGATCTGACATATTTTTCTGTGGAGTAGAAATTTGAGGAGATCAACCTACCTGTCTCGGCAGGGGGACAAGCGGTCTAGACAGTATTCACAGTCTAGACAGGATCTCAGCTTTTTCTTGTGTGGCCGGCCTTGCCATGAGCTTCTGGGTGGAGGTTCTTCTGCAGCCATTCATCATCTTGAAGAAGATACAGGTTGCTGCCAGGACCTGACATGTCTCTTTATCATAAAAAGCTTTCATATTCAATGCCATATTCTCAGATCTCTACAGGTATCTGAGGACTGGGAGAAGAAAATCTGTTAGCTGTATTTATAACTTTGAGAGCATAAATATACATATGTATATGTATATATATGACTGAAATCTGATTATACAGGCTTCCCAGTTAGTTACAGCTTAATGAAGTGAGCAAGGACAGGAGGCTGATCTTTGAGTACAGCCAGATTATAATCCTGAATGACTTATATAGAAATAATTATTTCAAAGCTGTCTCCTGAGAAGACAAAGAAGAGTGACAGGGGAAAGACCCCGAGGCTGAATGAGAACAGGAGAAAAGGGTATTGTGAGTCAGGGTGCAGCCCAACTCTGAGAAAAGGACCCTCTTGGTGGACCAGAAACTCCATCCCGAATGATTTATATAGAAATAATAATTCCTTACAGTCATACAATAGCTCCCTGGTTCTGCATAAAGGTCAAGTGTCTTATGTTATTGCAGAACCATTTTAATTAATAAATATCAATGGGCACTAGATAGTCAATCAGTCCTCTATGCCAGGGGGTTTCATTTTGACTCAGCATTTCAGACTATTCTGGACAGGGAACATGGGACAATGTATCCTCTTCTGAAACTGCTTTGAGCTGGCATTGGGGCATTGTTGTCAGGGCCCCCCCAAAAGGCTAAAAGGCCAGTCAAAGGCTGGGCAGTGGGGCATTTGTCAGAAGTATGTGGTGTCTGACCTGGCTATAGAGGCAAGGATCAATTATGTTTGACTGGGCTGTTCCACGTCAAGTAGACAAGAGTCTCTGCTGGCATCTGTGGCAGGGAAAGCGCCACAGGTGTGGTTCACAACTGCTGCTTTGGTGTTTCTGCCAGCCTGCTGGAATACAGACTAGAGGCAAGAGTTAAAATTTTATGAATTTATTTGGAACCTCTTGGCCCATGAACTTAATAATTGGGAAAGGAAGACCAGGAGAGAGAGAAATACCATTCTCAGAAATAGGTGAAGAAAAAAAGTTTTAGGTAAATTAATATTATCAATCAGTACTGAAATCCAAATCCTAGAAAAGCAGGTAATGAGTAACCAAGGGAAGTTTAAAATCCTTTTAAAATCCTGAGCTTGTGACCCACAGGGTATCAGAATTGTATTAATGTTAAAATCTGAAATTTAAAATCTTAAGCATTAGTGCTGCTACCCTATCCTGGCATCGGATCGCACTGTCCCTGCCCACATGAGCAGCTGCGGAGGAACAAACATTAGGTTGCGACTGAACCTCTGCCCCACCCATGCTGCGTGGTGATGAGGTCATACGACCTATTTTGACCCTAGCCAAGATGGCGGCTTGACCACGGGGTTGCCCTTATTTAAGATGGTGCCAACTGATCACGTGGTTGCCCTTATTTAAAATGGAGGCTTGAACAGATAAGGAACAGGTAAAGGGAAGCATTTAAAAGTTAGTCAGAAACAAGTTAACATGGGCGCCTCTCAAGCCGGGATGGCGGCAGCAGTCGAGGAAAGGCAGGCTGCCGGAGGGAGGAGGGGCTTTGGCTCTGAGCAGCTGGTGGGGTGGGGTGGGGTGGGGCTCAGGGCTGTGAACCAAAGTCCTGCAGGAGGTCCTGGCAACAGAGCTAAGTGATTGCAGACCAGGACAGGAGTTAGAGGAAAGGGACAGGCAGAGAGAGCAAGCTTTGCCTGGTGGGCAATTTTGCATGTCGCATTAAGGAGCCCGTGTGACGGGGAATGATGTAATTGCTCAGCAGAAGCTGGAGCATGGGTGGGTGGGTGACAGGGAGGGAGCTGGGAGTGGGTAGGCACATTTTTCCACAATGAGGTATAACAGCACAAGACAGCCAATGGACCGTCATCACAGAGGCTATGGGCCGTGGAGTTCAGAGGGCACAAGCCACCTCCATGTGCCATCACATAGGAGCAGAGGCCGAGGGGCTAGGAGCCTGAAAGACCCAGCAAGCGAAAGGAGACTGACCTCCAGCGTCCCAGAGAGTCAGCGAGAATGAATGACGCAAGATAGCCAATGGACCGTGGTCACAGAGGCTATGGGCCGTGGGGGACGTAGGCCCGAGGGGCTTAGAGCCCGAGAAACACGTGGTGCCAGCACCACGATCAATCGAGAGGGACGAGCAAATCCTCAGCTGTGGAAAATTGGCCAAAAGGGAGGCTTACCAGAGGAGGGTCAGGGGCTTACTAATTACGCCGGTGTTGGCTGAGTGAGTGTTGAAGGTTCCAGGGCTCCTAGCGTGTCTCAGAGTGTCTCAGAGTGCGGGCAGGCAGGAGAAATGCGCCAGGAGGACCCCTGCCCAGTCACTAGCACCAATGTTATGAATTATTACGTGGGGACCCCGAGGGTATCTCGCGCGTGCAGGAAAACACGCCAGGTCAGAATATTAACATTGGTTTCCAAGGGGTGGGTCAAAATAGTAACTTTGGTTTCCAAGGGGTGGGTCACCTAAGTGCGGATGGGAAGTCAGGGAGAAGAGGGGTGTTGGGTTAATCAAAACTAAGAATGCATTTTTTTCCTTCCCTCTGGAAACCCACAACTTTGTAAATTAATTTAAAAATACATTTTTTTTTTTAAAGGAAACAACACGGACACACTGCATGGGTGGAGAATGCTTCCCTAAGAGGACACAAGGATTTAAATGAAATCTCCGTGCAAGGTATGGGACACCTTCCTATGAAGTATCGCCCCCACCACACAGCACCAGGCATTGCCACTGACCCTGGCTGTCCACCAGCACTAGATGGTAAGCCACTACAGCAGAAGACACCATACACACTTTGGTTTCGGAAACGGAACTGAAATTGACCAAAAAACTTCCTCCCTGCTGGCTGGCTTTCCTAGTGCTGGGTGCGCTGCTGCAGGCCACAGGGGCAGACAAGTCGTCAGTGGTATCGGCCAGCAGTGAGTTCTGAATGATGTAACAGCAAGTAGAAGATGTGACTACTGGCGAAAATACCGGCGTGAAGGTGATGGAGGTGACCAACGACTTTCTGATTGGACCTGAGGCCTGTTCCAGGAGAGTGGACTCCTACTCAGTACTAAAAATCTGGCAAAAAGCCCAGCTTGGGAGGTCATAGGCCCTGAGGGGGCGGGCAAAAGGGGAATTCGGCTACTGTTGCCTTGGTCAGTGTCAAATGGTCTTCTAAATACGTGTATGACACGGACTAGGGCCGCCTTCACCTCAGCTGGAGAAGCTTCTGCAGTGGTCTGCAGTTAACGCCGCCGAGACTCCTAACTGGTCAAGGTGCTGAGTGACAGCCCAGTGCTCAGCCCTGAACGGGATAGCCCAGTTCACCCGAGGCTTGGGGACACCGCAGAAGAGGAGGTGCAAAAAAAAGAGTGAGAGTGGGAGACTAGGAGCAATGTTGTGAAATGCTGTTCCAGACATGCCACGGCCAGTGCACTCTGGCGCTCACGGCAACTGTGGCGCCCGGCGTAAGATCAAGCCCACAGGGGGAGTTAACATTCCTGTTGTGGAGTATTAGTTTAAGATGTGTGACATTCGTTTATGCCTCGGGACATCTGTTTAATGATGCAAAGATGTGTTGCATTCTTTGACCTTGCATTTGTTTAACTCTGTGAAGCTTTGCCTGTCTAAAACACCTGATTGGTCAATAAAGAGCTGAAAATGGCCAATAGCTAGGCAAGGCAGGAATATGCGGGGGTGATATGCAGAAAGAATAAATAGGAGGAGAAATCTAGGCTTGAGAGAAGAGGGAGGAGCGAGAGGAGGAGGAGAGGAGGATGCCAGGGGCCAGCCACCCAGCCACACTGCCAGCCATGGAGTAAGAAGGAAGGAAAGATATATACAATAGAGAAAGGTAGAAGCCCAGAGGCAAACCATAGTTAAAGAGAAACAAGATAATTTAGGTTAGAAAAGCTGGCTAGAAACAAGTCACGGTAAAGGCCGGGCATTCATAAGTAAGAATAAGTTTTCATGTCTTTATTTGGGAGCTGGGTGGTGGGTCCCCAAAGAGTAAAAAAAAAAAACCAACTACACATTCCAGTTGGCAACACTACTTGAACTCAATGGGTTATGAGGGGTGTTTCATGAAGGTCGGAGGGGTACCTTTGGACAGCATCACTGAATGAGCATTATTGCCAAAGGATTTGAGGTGGTTGGCAGAGAAACGTGCGAGTAGGCACGGACAGGACCAGCGGTGCTGAGTAGACACTTTTTTTTTTTTTTAAAGAAATGCTCAAGTACACCTCAAGGGCCATACGCTCAAGACTGTATTTTTACTCTAAAGTTAGAAAATCCAGGTTGTCTAAGTAAAAACTGTCTGGGGCCATCCTGAGCTTTTGCTACAATCCTTTGCAGGAAGGAAAGGTTGGAGCACCAGGCCGTGGAGAGGGCCATGCGCAAACAGAGCAGCCCTCAGGTGTGTCAGCCCTGTTCCCTCTCCCCAGACTGGTCTGTGAGCCCCGAAACCAAGCCCAGGTCCACAGAGCGGCACACTTCTTCCCACCAGTTTAATCTATTTTAAGCAGAAAACTCTATTTCAGTGCCCCAGCAAAGAAAATACGTCCTCACATGAAACCCAAACCGTTTCAGTAACCAAATACCTAAGAGAAGTCCGAGGAGCCGTGACTTGAGAGGAAACGCACGTGGCAGGCTCACAGGCTTTGTGCACAGGTTTCCAACTTCAGCAAGAAGAAATCCCCAGACCCTGGGCCCTACTAGAGGGGAAAGGAATTCTAAAGTGCTCTTCGGTAATTCTCAACCTTGAGCGTACACTGAAGTCATCTAAAAAGATCTTTTTTCACTTTTAATACCATGCCCTGGACCTCTCCCAAGGTCAATTAAACCAGAATCCCTGGTATGCAGCCCAGGCATTAGTACTTTCCAGAGCTCCCTCGGGTTCCCCTGTGCAGCAGAGTCAAGTCCTACTAAACAACATTGGAAAACGCTCCGGAAGGTGAATGGTGACTGTAATTACTGCGTGTGTCAACTTCAGTGGTGACAGAGATTTGGGGGAGGTAAATTTTAGTTTGAGAAATTAATAAACGCATTTGTAGTAGGTTTTCCAAGTTCACCTCCATTTCATCTCCAATTCCTTCCCCAGCCGGCCAGTCTCTCTCCAGCTCCTGTGTTTTTGTTTTAATCCCACTGTGTCCACTTCGTGCTGCTGTGTGCGTGGGTGTAGGGCCTCTACTGGAGTACTAGCTTCCTGGGGACCGCTGAATCCTTGAGGAAAACTGATTCTCCCTCTCCCAGCAACCATCACCACCTTCCAATAGCTCCACCGCTATGGCAGGACTTCATGCCCACCTCTCCCCTCCACACCGGGGTTTTGTTTGGCTTGCTCTTGCCCACCTCTGGTGCATGCAGGAGTCATAGCCACTGGGTTCACCTGGGCAACTGCCTGGCTGAGTCTGGAAAATACCATTTCCCTTTAGTCACCCACTGCCTCTGACTCTTACCATCTTTCCACCTTCTGCTCTGTGATGACCCCTGAGCCTCTGGAGGAGGAGGTATGATAGAGGCACTAGGGAGATGAGAGGGGTACCATTTACTACACACTCACCTGGTACTAAGCACTGTGCTGGGCAAGGCCCACTTCACCTAACCCCCAACGCTTAGCACCCTGACAAATGCATTATCACCAATCTCTGTTATTCTCCAAAAATAATTACAAATACATTAACTCAAGGCAACTGACAGGAAGAGGCTCATCACAGTGCCAGCAGGTATGGGGACAGGGATCAAACCTCCTTACAAAGCTGTGCCTTCTCATTTTCCTTAAACTGCACTGATGTTTGGAAAGTTAATAGAGTAACATGGCGCACAAGTCTGAAAGGTATAGAGGTGTACAGAGCCTCTCTAAGGCACAGACGGAATGAGCATCGCCTATCATCACTTTTCCTGTACTGAACGAAGCACACCTAACCACGGTTATCCTTGTCTCATATTTCTTAGTCATCAGTTCCCTGCCCCGGAGACAAAATGAGCAGTTTTCTTATTCCAAAAGGATTTGAGGTGGGTGGCAGAGGAATGTGTATAAGCAAACCTGGACAGAACCAGTTCCAACACAGTATGGTGAGCAGGCACCATTTTAGAAATGCCTAAGGACATCATAAGGACCATAATAAGGACTGTGTTTTTACTCTAAAATCAGAAAAAGTAGGTTTCTCCTTTTCAGATGAATTCCATCTCATGCACACACATGTTAAAATTCTTTTTAGAACTACATTGTACAACATACAAATGTGTCATTACTTCATCTAGTCGCTTGTGGACAGACATTAGATTACCCTGAATTATTTGTTATTATAAAAATGTTAAAATGAAGCCGGGCGGTGGTGGCGCACGCCTTTAATCCCAGCACTCGGGAGGCAGAGCCAGGCGGATCTCTGTGAGTTCGAGGCCAGCCTGGG